ACAAAAGAGAAACTTATCTACATAAATTGGACTTCATCAATATTAAGAATTTTGTGCTCTAAAGGATACCATCATGACAATGAAAAGATAATCTACTAAATAGAAAATATTTGCAGATCATATAGTTGATCTCTGTTAAAAACATTTTTTAAAATGTATTTTAACAACTAAAAGACTGCACTTAGAAAATAGACAAAAGATGTGAATAGACATTTTCAATAGGAGATATACAAATGGTCAATAAGCACATAAAAAGATGCTCAACTTCCCAAGTCATTAGAAAAATGCAAATCAGAATCACAATGAGATACCAATTTACATCCATTAGTATAGATTTTTTTAAGAGAGAGATTTTTGCTATAGAGCTCAAGTTCTCACTGGATCGACAGGGAGAGAGAAAGTGAGAAATGACTCCCTGGGGAGATGGCCAGGCTGCAATCCCTTCTCCTCCATTCTCCCTTTGGGGTTTTGGGCAGACACACACATGCACCTGGCATGAGTTTTAAGCTTCCAGGTTCGGAATTCAAACCAAGGCCGACTACATGGGAGTCCAGTAATATAATCATACCATCTGCTGGTCCCACTTTTTTTTTTTTTAATAGGCAATAACAAGCATTTAAGAAGATATGGAGAAATTGGAATCCCTATTCATTGCTGGTAGGAATGTAAAGTTTCTACTTTGGATTTTAATTTGGCAGTTCCTCAAAATGTTAAATGTTAAAAAATAGATTTGCTATATGACCCAGTAATTCCATTTCTGCTTATATACCCAAGGGAAATGAAAATAATGTCCATACAAAAACATTTACATAAAAGTTAATAGCATTTTTTTTTCTTTCTGTCTTTCTGTCTGTCTCTCTTTGTATTTCTGGTGAGTGCACGCGCCCTATAGCAAAACCCTCTCCAAAAAAAAAAAAAAAAAAAAAAAGCAAAAACATTGTCTATGGGGCCAGCAGATGTCACAGTAGTTATGTCATTGGAACTGGACTCCCACATGGTTGAACATGGTTTTAGTCCCAGACTTGGTGCCTTGAAACTCATACTGGGCATATGTGCATTCGTGCCCAAGATCCCAGGAGGAAAATAGAGGAGAAGGGATTGCAGCATGGCCATTCCCCCTGGGGGGTGATTTCTCACTTTTTGCCTCTCTGTCTCTCTGGCAAACTTATGGGTCCTATAGTAAAAATCTCTCTAAAAAAACAAAGAAGCAAGTTGACTTGCCTAGGTAAATGTCATATTATCTGTTCCAGCCTTCATTAATAACAAAGATAGCGGCACAGTGGTAACACATCTCTCCACAATCCTAAACCCATATGGAAGATTGACTTTGGGTTCCCAGGTTGACTTATACATGGGTGCATGAGTGTCCATGATCCTGGCTGGCTGAGAAAACTGGAGGAAGGATCATGGTGTAAGACCCTATTTAGGGTGCCTGTTTCTCTCCCTCTCTCTTTGTATCTCTCATGAAAACAACATTGGGGGGGGCGTGTCGGAGGGATGACGTGCTCATCGAAGAGAGACAGAGGAAGGAAAGTGAGAAATCACTTACGGGGGCAGGGGCAGTGGCCACACTGAAGTCCTTTCACCTCCATTCTCCTCCTGGGATTTTTGGGTATAAACCCACACACGCCCGGCATGATCTTCAGGCTGCCAGGTCCAGGACTCAAACTGTGGCCAGCCATGTAGGAGTCTAACACCTTAATCATCACACCACCTGCTGTCCCAAGAAAGAACTTTTTGAAAAACTAATAAAAATGATACGTTGCCTTCTCCCAATCACTAATGTCCTATACTTTATGTTATGTTACACATTATCAGTTGGTTCAGACTTTGGAGAAGGGTGTAGTTATTGATCCTATCAAAGTCCTTAGTAATGAGACAAGAGAAGAAGCAATTTACAGCAGAGTTTTGGACATGCACAATAGTAAGTCCAGTGAAATAATTAGAATCTGAGAATTTTAAAATTATAAACAATTTTTTTTTAATTTGCTATAGGGTGAGACCAATAGATGGCATAATGGTTATATTGCTGGACTCCCACATCGTTGACTGGGGTTCAAGTCCCA